GGGATTTATCAGCCTATTTTTGGAAACGCCATTTTTGGGGAATTGGGAAAAAATTAAAATGTTGCTTAAATCATATACTAAGGTGTATTTCATTTAACATTTCAGCATGAACTCTAATTTTGGCAACCAAACAGACAATTAAATATGATCCAACATCATCATACAAAATCAATTATGAATAATAGACTAATAAAACTAAAATTGACTTCAATGACTGAGTATAAAGTATTTATACAACTTAGGGTAGTACAAGTGTGTATGAGATTCCAATTTAGGTCATTATAGAATCTGTTGCTGGAGATTATAAACCTCCTGCAAAAAATTATACCAAGTACACATTTCTAAAAGTCCTCTTTTAATACATGTATGAATTAATGCATTGAAAATATATTTTTTATCTGAAAAAATGCCTGGTGTCCTTACCATTCATTCGTAGATCAATTGAATAAGTGGAAATAACATAATAAATCTATATAATTACACAATATCACCATTTTCAGAAAAACGGAGGAAATTCGGATTAAAAATTAGCGATGTTTTTACAGTATTTTTAAACATGTGTTATGACTTTAGCTTTGCTAAATGAGTTAGATGACAATCTGACAAATTTACTTTGTGTTTTTCCAAGATAAATCATTTTAAAAGCATAGCTCACCTATTGGGAAAACACTGCCAAATGGAAGAAAAAAAAAAACAAAAAAACAAAAAAAAAAAAAAACAAAAAAAAAAAAACTCATTTTCAGTTGGGAATGGGGACGAATTTCGGCCCCTGAAAAGGTACTGATAAATCCCATAAAACCAATCCAACGATGTCCACCATTCGGCACTCGTGTTTTTATGTATCTGATTGATTTTCTATCATAAAACACGGGTTTGACACGAGCGGCTTGAAAAATTCCGGATTTTTTTTTCAAAATGCAAATTTTTAGAGTCGGCGGATCCGTTAAACTAAAAATCAAATTATGGTCGCCTTAATAAAAAAAAATGTTGGCCTAATATTCAACATTGTAACTGAAGCTTTAGAATTCCTTACAGGACTCATTTATTGACCTATTATTGGACATTTTAACCAAGGATTCAACACAGGTGTGAGTAGACATAATAGAGAGGTTGAGTTTCTAAACGTGTACACGTACGTGTACGTGTGTACAAACTTTGACATACACGTACACGTTTTTTGTAATTTGTCTGTTGAGATTTTAATGACGTGTAACGTGAACGTGTAGACTGTAATCGATGTCTCTGTTTTAACTATTTAGTAGTTTTGTGACATTAGTTTGACTTTAGTTAGTGAACAAAACATGGTTAAAATAAGTGTTCCTTAAACTTAACATCCTAAATAATTAACAACAATAACGGTTTCACACATAAATTGACTAGTTTTTATTGAAAAAGCTACAAGTTTACACCTACGTGTAGATGCCTTTTTACAAGTTGTAGGAACGTGTAGAAAACTTATCAACGCCAAAACTGGTGACGTAATACGCAAGAAATTTAGGGAATTCCCCTACTAGACGTACCCGTACACGTACATGTATGAAATCTCAACCTCTTTAATATTTCCCAGCTACTTGTATTTTTACATTCGATGTAAGGAGTATGTGTAGTGGAGCCTTGATAATCCGTACGCTTCACCGTCATGACCAATTTTGTCGCGAACAGATTTTACACTTAAATATTTATGCATTTTATAAAAGTACGTGTCAGTAATCCGGAAACTTTTAAAATCGGAAAGATTTGTTTTGGAAACTATACCTGGATTAACCAAACTCGACTGTTTACCTTAGTGTAATTTTTTTTTTCTTCCTAATATTCCTTAAATAGAATCTGTCAAAGAATACATGCTTGATGAGAAACATAATGTTCAGTTGTAACAGAATGTGAACTCACTGTTTTATTCTTTAGTTTGATTATTTAAGAACCTTCGCAAATATTTTTCTTCCATATATAATTTCAATTTACGGAACACAGCAGTGGCCTTTTTATAACACTTATGATTAGACATAAGATATCTCCTTTAATATAAAAAGTAACAAAGACAGCAAGGGCACATTTATAAAGCAAATATTTAAACATTTGGTTTTTCAAATTTAAACAATATCTGTATCCTCTTTATATTATAGAGATGGAACGTTTGATCAAAATAATCAAAATGACTGTGTATCTTTCCTTCATGTTTTACTGGACGTCTTAAGCAAGGATGACTGTAAAAAGTATAGTACCAGTAAAGAGAAAATATGGTAATATGCAACTGTTAATATCGTAATATGCAACTGCTAATAAGGTAATATGCAACTCGTGTTGTAAACTTTTGAAATGGAATATTTTATTCATGTGGAATAATGACAGACTAGTATTTGTTTTGTTCTTTTAGGAAAAGTTGATCACTTTTTCATTGATGTTGTTGATGAAATAGAATGCAGGGAATGCATGACTGTGAGTACAGTAAATGATGCTGATAGTACCATAAGTACTATTTCTAATATCTGGATGATATCTTTCTTACATACACAATGTCTTGATTTTCACTTCTAGTTAACACTTTTTTAAGTTTATTACAGAAATTTAATATCGATAATCTGTATTGGGAAGAACTGTTTGAAAATGGAGAGCTAAAATGTACTAACTGTGGAAAGAACAGAAAATTGGTCAAAACGTCAAGATTGGCCAGCTGTCCGGCTTTGTTGATGTTTCCGATACAACGCCTTTGGGTAAATTGTTCTTCATACATAAAATTGAGTAATTATACGTGTCACGTGACTTTGTGTGTAGACGTCAATTATCGGTGCTCCGAGTTTTGAGTAAAAAATGCGTAGGAAACAGTGTGAATTTGTGCCATATCTTGATGTAGCTGAATATAATGACTGGAAATAGACAAAACAAGCAGAAGAAGATGAAAAAAGTCAAAAGCAGCAGCATTAATAGCGGTAGTGAAGTCAGTCCCGATTTTAAATATTTCAAAGACGAGGACACCACTTTGAACAGTAATCAAGATCAGATCGAGCGAGATATAACGGTGAGTGATTTACTGAATCAAGCGAATTCTATTTTATACTCGTCTACTGAGGAACTTAATGACAGTACTAGAAGTGAAACTGACAGTGACAGTGAATTAGTTAATAGTGTATTCGATTCATTCACTTTCCATGACAAGTCACTGGATAATATAAATATAGCGTCAAACCAAACAAGCTCTGACTCTGTGTCAGGAAAACTAGATACACTATTATCTGTAGTCCTAGATTTAAAGAATAATCAGAAAAGTATGAAACGCATGTTTGAGTCCAAGTTAGACAAATTAAAAACTGGTTTGATGGAAAATGTTGAGAAAAAGATTCTATCATTGAAGGATGAGATATCTTTAAACATTGCTAGAGAGACAAATTGCACTGATCAAATTCTCATTTCTATACAATCCATACAATCACGTCGGAACGATTTAGAAAAAAACATGTAACAGGGGATAACGGCAATCACCTTGGAATCACCGGACACTCGTTAGATCCGCTAAATAACAATGAGATTACTATCACAGCTAGTGGCATCCCTGTCACTGAAGATGAAAACGTCATGCAAAAAGCTGAACATTTGATTCAGGCACTGGGAGAAACCGTACCACAATATGTTCAGATAACAAGCGCAGTCCGGCTGCCAACAAGATTTCCAAATAAACCAGGCCTTATCAAAATAAGTTTCCAAAATAAAGATGAAGTTAAAAGACACCGATTTACACAAAGAAACTTTTCTTAGAAGCAGTAAATCTCGCATAGAACGGTTAATAGAAATAAATGCATGCACCATCTTGAGAAACTTGCCGCAAGAACGGGGAAGATTACTACGGGTCGATGCAAGTGGACGAATCATACCTCGACAAACCGTGCAGATTGACCAACATGACCAACAAGAGCATTTCTAGTCATTATGGACGCTGGACAAATATGGGTCGGTACTGGAACAAAAGTGTCTTACGATGGACAAATGCTGTATCACCAAACTATCAGTTGATATGGACTTCGGTCTGTGACAGTAGTGAAATTTCGATAGACATACTATATCATCCTCAGGAGCAAAATAAAGAAGTTAACGATTTACACAATGTACATACATAATTATAGTCCGTGAGGGAAAATGTAAGATTTATATCCAGGTGACTTATAGGTCCAAAGGGCCGGGTGTAAAGTACTTTTTTGTATTTAAGTATTTCATGATGTATTACACAAGTCACTATAATAAATAAATAAATTATTATTATTATTATTATTATTATTATTATACGATGCTTTTACTACCGCGTATTAAATCGTCTGTCCTTCAGTGTCGAAATTTATATTGTACATGTATATATATTGTGTATATACGTAATATTGCAGGAAACTGGAGATGGTTTTGTTAAAAGAAATTGCGAAATAAAATTTAGTCCAAGGCTTCATTTAGACAATGAAATGGTAAGCAGTCAGGTATACAAAAGTGTGGTAAAATATTCTTCGCATTGGAATACGTACTTTTTATTTGTGTTTTAAGACTTATAATTTAAAACAATTAATTTTGATTTTTTTTAAGTATAATGTAGAAGAAAAAAGGGATTTCACTTAAAGCGACATATGAGGGCAAACATTCTGCTTGTATTTCATTGCTATAAAGCGTTGTTTGATCAGAGATGGGTAAAAAGGTAGAAATCCGAAATGAAGAGTTTGAGAAGTTTACTCTCTTGAATAATACATGTGTATTAACACCATTTTATTGATTCTATTGGTGAAAAGATTCGCGTAATGAAGTTATTAAGATTAAGTTCTGTTTTGAATTGACGATTATATTTACTCTGGACGAAATAAATATGCGCGTTTGTGTGTATGGAGATATATTTGAAAGGTTCTGTGCTTTATAAACAGTGTCACAATGAACAGTTGTTTTTGAGGGAGTCTTTTTTTTTTTTTTAATTTTTCCTTCTTGTCAAACACATCTAAAACATGTGGATGAGCATTTGTTTCTTATAATTTTAGCCCAAATATGAACTGTTTGCAGTAGTGTACCACAGCGGTGATTTAGAGGGAGGACATTACTATTCAGCAGTGAAATATGACAATGACTGGTATATTTGTGACAACGACCACATCTGGAAGTGTTTTGAAGAAAAAGAAATTTTAAAATTTAGAGATGTGTATCTTCTCTTTTATGAACGTAAATAGCATATTACTTGTCAATAAGTATTCAATTGATTAAAATATCGTTTTTGTTGAAATTGAGGTCTTATTATGTAAGTGTACATGTACGTATTTAATAGAGAACCCAAATTATTACAAGATTGATTAAACTTAAAAAAAAAAATAAAGACTGTATATTGAGTGCATGTTAATAAGATATGATAAGGAATAATGATCCCTGGATAATGAATATCAAAAATGAAATACACACTCTTGGTCTGGCTGACGTGTATCATGATAGTAATCAAAAAAATTATGTTAGATATAACATATAATTAGAGTATGCGACGTTTCAAATAAAAAAAAGTTATATCTGATATACATGTATGTGGATCATTAGATAGCAATTATTTGACTCTTTTTGTTTGCGAGGCCTTTTAAGGAAAAATACACACGTAAATTATAGAAAAGCGGTCACATCTTTTAGATTATCATCACATAACTTTAAGATCGAAACCGTAAGGTATGATGACTTAAAAGGGAGTAATAGAAAATGACTTATTATATACCTAACTGTTTTCACTCAGTTTTACTGTTGAATTTATGCAATCACGTGACGGATCACCACACTGTGGTTTTCTGAGTCCATATCACCCCTCTCTGAAACTGATGAGTCAGACGTAGTACACAGATAAATGACGTTTTTATTCTGGCGCATCAAAAAGTTCCTTGACAAAATGGTTTATTTAATGGATAAAAGATATGTAATTGATCCAAAAAGTTTTTCTTTTATTATATGTTGCTAGTTGTGACGGGGTATATATTAAATTTATCATTATAACAGTAACTTGATCCGAAGAGCGGTATCACGTCTCGTTGACAGGCGCGGATCATCAGATCAAACTCGACGCTTCGCGTCTCGTTTGATCTGATGATCCGCGCCTGTCAACTTGACGTGATACGGCTCTTCGGATCAAGCTACTGTTATAATAATATATATTTATTTGATTTGAATATAATATTGAGGATTAATTTAATTTTTTATTATATGTCCAGTTTTTCGTAATTTAAGAGACATGTTTATTAAACATACATGTTCTACTCCTGATAACCACGTGTCTTCAATTTAATACAGTTATTTTGTAGTACAAACTCTTAAGACATAAGTATTTTAGAAAAAAACCAAAAAAACTTTAATATCATGCTTCATGCTACATTTAACTAACTACGATTAGAATGATAAAAAAATCAGCCATACGTATGTCACCATGTAAGTATTTTAAGTTTGTAATTGTGTAACATGTTATTATGCTCTGTATGTACGTGTAATTGTTTAATTCAGAACTGAACTGAATTATATCAATGTATGTTTTCCTGCTTATATATAATATATAATATTTAATTTTTTATAGTCTTGTATGAAATGTTGATCCGATCTTATTACTTCATTCTTGTCCCGACAGAGATGGTTTGAACAAACCTGAAACTACTCCCTATAGTCCTAATGACGCATAAAGATAATAATGTTTGACGGTCTGTGTACTGCATGTAACTTGATTTATTCATAGTGGTTTTGTTCTTGGAATTCATATCTTTAAAAAAGCTACACTTCCATATATTCCTTAGTAAAACGTAAGACCCAACTTTTGATATATTTTTGATTTTTTATATAAAATTACAAAAGCCGAGAGAGAGAGAGAGAGAGAGAGAGAGTGTGTGTTTTAGAATATGCATGTTTCTTAATCATATTTGATTAAGAAATAATAAAAAGAAAATAAAAGACTTGGAACAAAATCCGGAAAAAAGGAATACTTTTATTGATTTAATAACTTGTGTCATTGCGTCATACATGTGTTTTACTACAAGGTTAAACATAGACCAGTAGAATTTGATTAAGTGATTCACTTGCATTATTTTAACATTTATGGTTTAAATTTAGTAATGACGTAATAAAATGTATTAGTTGATAAATCTATAAGGCCAGTTTTTCAGTAGATGACAAAAGCCAAAATATCAGGTCGGTAGATTGGTAAAAAAAGAGTAAAATTCAGAAACAAAAATCTGTAACTAACCTTCTCCTCCCCTCCCCTACAAATTAAAACTACATACCATATACCGGTATATTTTGGTAGCCAGAGTTCTTTAACACCCAGCTATAGGCTGATCATTCATTTACGCTACGTGTGATTACTGCATATTATATACGGATGCACAATACAATGTAAGAATTTCTTTCAGTTTCTAATTGACAACAATTATTACTAATTATTTGTACTTTTATTATTGTTTTCCTTTGAACAAAATAAAAAGTGTAGATGGTTTTTATTAGACTGATAGAGGGAGTTATTTCTAGAAATCAAATCAAAAGCGAAAGTAACGTTTAAATTTTCAGAAAATAAATAGTCAGTAGTTGTCATTTAAATCGCGTAAATTGGGTTTTAAACAGTCTGGAATGGAGTTTCAGAGATTGTCGTCTGGATATGCTCGTTCTTTTCACACGGTAATTTGTTTATTTTATAATTATTTTCTGCTCTCAATTCGTAATAATAATTGTACATTAAAGGCTATAGATCTATGTAATTTCCAAGAAAATATAATACATGATGTTATTATGTATAATTTTAGTCTATGTACCAGGACATGAAATTGTCAGTTTAATAGGCTTCATTTTAAAAATTCATTTTAAGGCGTTTGATACAGTTGGCGAAATAAAGGGCCCTATAGCATCCCTTTGTGGTGTTCCTAGTCACTGTGTAGATATTGTTGACCTCGAAGACGGCCTGATATACGAGAATAGCAGAGGAATTTCGAACCTTCCCCGCCCTATTCAAGTGATGATCGGAGCTACTGAGAGGCGTATTCCGTTCTACCTTGTGACCACTGATGTTGATATGATAGAACAGGACCCTTATGACGAGGAACCGAGGTTAAAAATGTCGTGTGGACACGCCATCAGTAAGTGATTTAAATAAAAAAATTTATTATGTTAATATGCATGTGCATCAATTTTCGTCACGGTCCATTTCTTTCGTGATCAATCTATAATAATTATATTTGCATGAATTATGTAGGTTAATTTTGCAGAACAGGGAGCTCCTTGTATATCATTTATTCGAAAATAAAATGAAAGGAAAATGTGATAACCTACAAATTTCGTACTTTAAAGAGTTTTAGCCTTCATAGTTTGCCATTGGATTTCAAGTATATAAATTCAACCAACATGTTTATTCAATTTGCAGCACCATACAACTTATTTGGACATATGAGAGATACATTGATGAACAAAGTGAGACATTCTATTTGTTGCCTTACTCCAGTTTGCCTACAAGAATGGAGCCTTCGAGAAGTGGCACAGAAAGCTGATATGACAGATGACGAAAGGATTTTCTTTGAATATAAAATTTCACTAAATGCTATTCTTCAAGGCAACGGCGAGACATCTGAATGTCCAAATTGTGGTCAATTTTGTCAACGTCAACACAATACCAAAGCGGTTCATTGTACTCGCTGTGCATTAAAGGGATTTGACAAACAGTTTGATTTTTGTTGGGATTGTAAATCTCCATGGGTACCAAATCATGCCTGTGGAAATCGAGACCTCGAAGCCATACAAAAAATCCTGAATGATGCCCCAAAGAAAACTTTAGATTATTCCAAGATTGAAAATGTCCCTTCTAAGAGACTCTGTCCAAATTGCAGAACTCTAATAGAACATGAAAAGATGTGTAAACAAATGAGATGTCCGAGCTGTAAGTCTGAATTCTGCTTCTCGTGTTTAACTCTCTGTGTAAACCAAAGATTGCAGTGTTCTGGGTATAGCACACAGTGCAACGTTGCTCCAGTTCAGGATGTATTCTCTTCATGAACATATTACAGTGTCTGAGTGACTTCTTTAATATGTTTTCAATGCAAAATTTGTGGATGAAAACAAGGATAAGTATCAATTATCTAGCGTTGGTAAATATTTATTAAATAAATCTTTAAAGATACAGATACATATAAGCTCATTGTTTTATTTAAGAATCAAAGTCACTATTAAAGAAAGCGAAGAAAATCATCAAGACTTAAAAATGCATGTGATTTAATATGCAATCTGAAATACCAAATGATTATATATTTTAAAAGATATCACATCGTATAAAACAGCAGGTATGCGTCATGAGATTTCAAAGCCTCCTGCAGGGTCGAATGTCTTACACGGCTGTCATTGCAATAGTACCAATCCCCTGCATCACTGTGATGTAAAAGGTGTTTTACAAATGATGTGTAGTGACCACCATGTACTGAGCCATGATGGTTCACAACACCGTATAGATGATAATTCACAATATTTCCATTCTGAAAGAAAAAAAATATCAATACAAAAAATCTAGTCCAGGAGTTCTGGTTATTGAAAACTATTAGAGAATCTACTGAATGGAAAATTATCCAAAAGCCCTGGTGCATACTTTCCCAAATCAAAGCAATTGAAATACAGGATATAATAAACACAAGAAGAGAAAATAACATGCATGTACGGATAAAATTGTTTTAAGCCTAAGAGTAAATAAAGAAAATATGTATGTCGATTTATTAATTTATATGCCAGCTTTGTAGCTATATCATTTAAAAAAAATCTATGGTGTTTAATATTCATTTTTTTAAAAGATTCGGGTGGATGTATTTTATCAGAACTGAAAACATACTTTTTTATTTCCATGTTACTCACTTCTTACAAAGTACACATATTTTACTGTTAAGAAATGAGGCTGATTGGGGGAGAAAAGAAAAATAAATGAGAAGAGGAAAAAAGTGGGAAAAGGAGAAAGAAAATAGGAGAGAAGAGAATATACGAGGAGGAAAAACGATCCACTCTATTTATATAAAGTTTCTATGCCTTCTTCATAAGACAAAATTTCTCAGTTTTTACTATATATAGTGAACTGGAGATTAAATTTGCTGATAACATCAATTTAGTTGTGCAGGGATGAATAACATTCTTTTCTAGATTGCTTGACTTTTTACATTTGTTTATAGATTCTGATTAATCTTAAAATATATCATGATTCTAAGATCTTAAAGTTAAATATTACCGATTGTGGTACTCTCAGTTTTTCAGGAAAGCCGATACTTTTATAAGATTTTGCAATGTGGAGGTGACCACCAAAACTCATCTGAAAAATCCATAAAACTTAATTTTTAAGACACCCAAGTTAGAAATATTCAGTTCTCGGATAATGATAAACAACACGAAGTCCACATATCTGAATATTATTTGATAAAATGTTAATCTCTGTATACCTCCTTAAAACACCCAAGCTGAAGTACGAGAACTTTGGGCAATGTACGAAATCTCATTGCTTTTCTTGTTTTTCCTTTTCTTGATAAAAATCCTAGAAGTATGCATGAATGTAAATGAAATTAAATACATTATTTTACGTAATGCAATTAAAGTAAAACTCATAATAATGAAAATACGACATTGTAGATGTTATTACCATCTGTCCCACATTCTCTACAAGGGACATCTGCTTCATCAAATTCTTCCTCATAAAGCAGTGTTTTCAAACCTTCTTCTACATTCTGAAATGTTTCTGTATAATTCACTCTGGGTTTTTTTCTTAGTAAAAAGATCTGTTCTTAAGTATTTTGTGAAAACTTACATATGATTCTGAAGGAAGAGTTAGACTTCTCATAATCTGAATATCTGTTACTTCTTTCTACAATCAAACATTGTACTTTATTTACACTTCCTTCAATACGTTGGGTTCATACTAAAAAGATAAATATACTGTTATCATATACCTACATGATCACAGGAATCAAAAGCAAATTCATCAACCATTTCAATTTCAAATACAAGTGTTGTGTCTAAATAAGAAAAAAAGTGAGAACTATTAATTTGTGATTTAGAAAGTAATTAATAAATTATTCGATCTACGAAAGCTAGACGCGGATCGTATAGAATATAGAATGTGCCAAGTATATCAATTTAACTTACTCTTTAACATGACACAAATACAAGAGGCTGTTTGCATCTGTAATTGTAATTTAAAATATTTATCTAGAAACAATGATAACAAATATTCAAAATTATATTTTGTCTGATGTAACCGTGTACCTTTTGCCTGATTTTCATCGTGTAATTCACTTAAGAGTGTAAGCAAAAACGAGTGACAGTCATTTTGGAATCCAATTCGAAATTCATGTTCTCTGAAAGTATCCAAACCATTAGCAAACAATGACATTTATAATGTTTGATATTTTTTTTTTAATTTTGAACATAAAAAAAGAACAAGGAGAATCAAAGCAGAGAGTTATTTTCACCTGCTCGAAACAATGTTCATTAACGTCGCTATCAGTCCAGACTTTCCAGAAGTTACCGACTTCATTGAATGTAGTAGGTTACGGAAAGCAGTCGTAACTGCTGTTTTCTAGAAAAGATAAAAAACGCATGTTTGCCATTGCTATGGAAAGAAATGGCAACAGAAAAATGAACGTGAGAAAATTAAAGATACATGAACGATATCGCTCAATATACAAAGAAAACCACAAATGAAGTGGTATTATATTTTTCAACTTCTGAATTGATTTTAAAATTATTTATATTAATACTTTTTGTTCACAATAATGGTAAGTGCAAAATTCTTTTTTACCATTTGATGATTTACACCTGTCGAAACATGTTCCCTACAGGACAACAACCTTTCATGCAGAAATGGCGTTTGTCCTAACACCTGAAATAACCATAGACCGTTTTTGAGACACATATCATTGTGGCCTTTTTGTGTTTTTTTTTTCTCCTGAAATTAACTTTCCAGTTTTTGTAAGTATACTCTTCTCTTCGATGATACTGATTACCTGAAGCAAAGAATTAGCGTAGCAGGTGTTCCCTATGTTAGGAAGCCCCTAAAAATCAGAAAAAAAAATCCAAGGAATGGATACACACATTTCAATGAAATTAAGAAAAAGGATTGTTTTGTTCATAATAAGATTGATGTGCTTGAATATGTCACAAATACTTTTGGTGGTTCTCTCCCTTGTACTATGGATTCACCAGTTGTATGAATAGGTGGATCCTGTAAAATACATGAACTTTTTGTCTTGAAATATTTAAAGTGATATGAATAACAATTAATAATATTTTTTATGTACTTTAAATATAACTACTGATGATTCATGTTGTATGCTTAGTCGTAATGTACAATGTTAAGTGTCAGTTGAAGGTTGCTTTAAATTCTGTTGATTTCAGAATTTATTTCATTAAAAGTGATTTACTTATGTTCATTAATGAATGCTGCTATTTAGGTAGTTTGCCAAATTTCAAGTAATGGAGTTTTTGCATGTGATCTATCAATTAACATAATGTACTAAACATTATCACATTAAACGCGTGAAAATTAAAAAAAAATGCGAAGTGTTTCTACTTCTTGAAATACACCAAAAATATAGTTATAATACATAACAAAATCTGATCCATGAGCAATCTCAAACATTTGCTAGTTTTGCGAGACTATTTCTCAAGATATACTTGTTGATACTTAGCATTTAATTAATAACATTTACAACTACATACACCATGATTTATTTACGAAATTTACAGTGTATCATTAAATACTTACATTTTTCTGGATAATTTGTCTTGAAGAAACCTCTCCATGGAGTTTAATTTCATCCCGTTTTAAATGATTGCTAAGGCTTGAGTCTTTTTCCATGTTGAATGTTAGTGATGCTCCAAATGAATGTACCTTAAAGAATAATTTAGAAAACAAGAAAAGGATATAAATTTCATTCAAATATAACAAGAATGATGATCTATGAAGTCAATTCTTGTACCTGTGCTTTCTCCATGTGTCCAGAATTTATTTGGTAATTGGGATTCTTTTCTTTAGCTTTCTGAATAATATTAATATTACAAATGCACTTTAGATATTAAGAATATGATTTATTATTCTTCAGAAATATTAATGTCACATACTCTCTCTCCCTCCCTCTTTCTCTCTCTTTCCTTTCACTCGTAAAGCGCGTTAGAAGACGGAAGTGAAAAAGAAATAGAAAGCAAAACCGAATGGAAAAGGTGTAACAATTTTAATACATACTGCACTTTTATTCCGTTTTTTTTCTTCAAAGCGTTTAATGTTTTTTGCATTCGGTGGGCTTTTTGAAACTCTTGCATCTTGGATTTTCTGATAAGGATTGAAGTACGGATTGCTTATGTTGTCATACGATTCTCGGTCCAAGCTAGACAACTGCAGTACAAATTAATTGTCAAATTATTTTTTTATTAAACAAGAAATGAGATAATAATAAAATGCATTTTTGGTGACATATATAGATAAGACAGAGATTTTAAAAAAAAAAAACAAACAATAAATTAAATACGCCTTTAGATTAAAAAAAATGTGTTAAAATAGGAAAATAATTTCCCCGATTTATATTACCCTTTGTCTAGAGTACACCGGCGGTGTATCACTTTTCTCGTTTATGTTAGGAAGTCGTGATCTATGACCTTGTTTTGTTTTTCTTGGTTTCAGATTTCCGATATGATTCAGGTCCGCTGTCGTACACTGTAAAAAAAACCTCACAAAATTAATGTGTTACCAAGATAATTTTCTACTAAAAAATGAATTATTGAAAAAAAAAAAAAAAAAGATTGAATGACTTACCAGTTCAGTTTGTCTTTCTTTAACGCCTTGTTCGAAATATGTGGCAGAAGGTTTTCTGAATTCGTGTACGCCTGGCTTCGTCGAATGATTATAATCCTGTTAAACAACTTACAGCTGTAAATATTTTTATCAATACGGAGAAAAGCAACATACAAAGGCTATGTAAGTTAACTTCACGAAAGGATTATTTTATACTGACCTCCTGTTTTGAATGTTGCTTGTCTGTAATGAAGGAGAACTGTTTCAATTGTAATAGTTATGAATTATATTTGTTACATTTTCAAAATGAAAAATTGTTACATTTTGTGCTATGTGCATGTTTTATTTTGAAATTCATTGTCTGATCTTGGAATATACAATTAAACACTTACCATGTTCAATCTTTTTTGCATAGCTTTGAGCAATTTGTTGCCCTCGAATATTCCGAGATTTTCTGAAGGAGACAAATTCTGACTAAATTTTAAAACTACCTCGAACGTAGCATGCACATATTTAAAAAAAATGAATAGAATTAGTAACGAGCATAAAATTAAAATAATAACTGATTTTCTTACATTTACATCTTACTGAATCTTATGCACGTGTAGACAAAAATTGAAGAAAAATAATAGATTAATAAAACAAGAGGCCCAAGGGCCTTAACGGTCACCTGAGTACAACAATTTAGAGGATCCATAAACTGATAAACGAAGCTTTGTTGCCCAATAGCAAGGAAAATAGTACGATTAAGATCATAATAGATGTCTCTATTATTACCTCTCACATTGGCCTCACTTGGCCTTTGAAGAACATTTAAAAAGATAAGTTATTTTTGTTTCATTTTTTTTCATCTATTATTTCCAAGTCTACCTGATTATTAAAACTATGAAAATACTTTTTGCATTATACAACAAATGTTCTTGCATAATTTTCTTATTCTATTAATCTTTCAAATACATTATCTACAGTGATTAATTATCAAAGGTGAATGGCAAAGGTGAATAACTTCACTCAGTAGAATACAAATTAATAGAGCCCTGGCAAGGACCAGAACACTTGACTAAATTGTCCAGATGTTCAAAATTCTGGTAAAAATACCTTGCTTATTAAAACTTTTACTCTGTTTGCTTCTAATATGCCCAGGAGCAGAGGAGATTTTCAAAGAAATAATGCATTTTCACTATTTAACACAGCCCTACCCTAACACCAGAACCTATGACCTAGGGTCATGAAAATTTACAAATTTGGAAGAGGTACCCTCATCATCATAACTATGCAATTAGTTGAAGATTTTCAAAGATTTAATGCATTTTCACAATATAATCAATAGAGCCCCCCCCCCCCAACACCAGAACCCTTGACCCAGGGGCCATAAAATTCACAATTTTGGAAGAGGCAGTCTTGCTCAACATAACTATGTAGTTAGTTAGTTAATTTAATACCCACGAGCAGAGAAGAAGATTTTCAAAGAAATAATGCACTTTCACTATATGATGTATATAGCCCCACCCTAGCACCACAACCCCTGACCCTGGGGCCATGAATTTCACAATTTTGATAGAGGGCTCATTGCTTATTACAATCATGCCAACAGTTTGACTGCTTGATGTCCAGGAGTAAAGAAGAATATTTTTAAAAATTGCATTAATTTTGGTGGTTTTAGCCCCACCCCTCAGGCCCCAGGGAGGCAGGGACCATGAAATTCACAATTTTTGTTTCCCTTTACCCATAGGTGCTATATGCCAAAATTGGTTGAAATTGGTTGAGTGGTTTCAGAGAAGAATCTAAATATGTTTAAATGTTAACGCACGACGCACGACGAACGACGAACGCCGACGGACAAAAACGGATAGCAATAGGTCACCTGAGTGACTCAGGTGACCTAAAAAAACGAACTGACAGATAAAATAAAACAAAAACTGAATGCTTCGTCATATTACGTTTGAGATATCGTGATAACCAAATTGTGGCTATGAATGGGAATCAAGCATTAAATAGACATGGTGATCCTGACTTTTTTCTTTTTTATTCTACTGGAAAACAGGAGCTTAATATAAAAAAATAAGGCATACTTTAAAACCTGGCCTGGTCCCTTTGGCCTGGCCTGGCCTCGAAGTTGGACTGACCTCTATTTTGGCCTCTTATTTGGCTCCAAACAAATTTCTTTATTGTCTTGATAATTCAAATTTATGCTTCTAAACTTTTTATTGTGTAGATATCATCAAACCTGACTTGGATATTAAAGAAATATATATTCACATTTATTAAACCATTGCAGTATTTTCGCATTGAAAGTAAAACTATATGCTCTGTGTTATAGTCTTCAAAAATTGAAATAAAATCAATCAAACTTTCAAAAAGAAACTATATTTTAGGTGAGGCCAAAATTGAAGCCAAAAATTTTACAGAGGCCAAATCTGAGGCCAGGCCAACTTTTAAGGCCAGGCCAAAAATTGGTTTGGAGACAAATTAGAGGCCAAAATAGAGGCCAGGTGAACTTCGAGGCCAGGCCAGGCCAAAGGGGCAGGCCAGGTTTTATAGTATGCCAAAAAATAAAGGGAATGTCTTTTAATAAATGACTAAAAAAATCCTATTTTAGAGTTTTAGGCGAATGTTTTCGTTAATTTAGGTACAAGCCAGACTCCTTTAGGTGTCTTTTTTGATTTTCAGTGCCAATGGAATAAATTCTAGACAAATGAATTAGAGTGTAAATATCTAAGTTACAATCTTAGTCAAGAGGACATTCTGAAGCTAAATAGGAAAATATATTTCTTTGCTCGTCAAAACATTTTCTCCCGCTAATTATATTTAAAAATTTGAAATTAACATAAATGGTAGCAACATTTTATTTTAGATAAATATTATTTTAACTCAACGGGATCCTTAAATTTCACCTGCCCTCTGGCATGGTTTCTCTTTTGCAGCACTTCATACAAAGGTAGGCAGATTGACAGCAAATATCTATAATAAAAAAAAATAGCTGCATCTTTACTAGATTAAATGCACAATAAGTTCAATAATTTTAAGTAAAATCAAGATTTTCCATTTTCAAACGATAAAAATGAAAAAGTTTCATAAACACTACAAATTGTGAACAGACCAAAAATATGGACACTTGTGACACTAGAGGTAGGATTAGGTGTGTAGAAGAAGTAAGCATCTCATGTCAAATGATTCCGCCCACAGTGCGACCTCTGTATTAATCAGGTAAACGGAGTAACCCTAGTCTAACTTAATATAAAATTCCTGATTCAAAAATTGGTATGGAAAATGTCAATCAATGGGGTTTATGTAAATACTTGCAGTCGTACATTAATAAGCGTATATTTTGATACAGTAAAGCATTACTGAGAAGTTTTTTTTTTGTTAAATTTAGGTGAGGCAATAAGTTCATCATATTTGAAAATTGCAAATCAAAGAAAATCTAGTCAAATGGAAGAAAGAAGGTAATTGTGTTAAGGTTCTCGAAAGGCAAACTTTTGTTTGTAGAAAAAGTTTTAAGAGTGTCCAAAACTTGTTAATGTTCCTAATTGTTGTAGCCTGTGTTTCCTCCAGCAAGCCAAAGTTATAAAGTTGACTAAACGTGTTTTACTTTACAGTCCCTCCATTTCTCAATTCATGAGTAAGAGATGTTATACAGACAAATAAACTTTTATATGTTAATGAAAAGATCAAACTAGCATTCAAACTTCTTATTACAGGCACTAAAACTAAATACAGTAAAACACGCTTATGCATGTAACGAAGTGCCAGGGACGGACGATTTTGCTTTGTTATTAATGTAATTCGTCATATCCGTTATATTTGCAATATATTAAAGACATGGGGAACAAAAATTGGTTCGCTATAAGCGTCAATTCATTATAAGTCTGTTCTCTATATATAATCGTGGTTTACTGTATTTTTGTCTAAATACATCAGGAAAACAAATTTTCACTTTTACTTTAAGTGACATCAAATTAGATTGTCTATTTTATAAAAAAAATTCAAATTCTTGGACGTTGATATGCTAGATTTCATTGTTATTTTGCTTCTCAATACTTGTTGATGATAGGGCTAGATTTTTAAAAATATTCTGTCATTGCAAACAATATTTTTATAAATGATTTTGTACACAGAATATCCCTTGCTTGAAAAACTGTTAAGTCAATTTTTATTTTGACAACTCAGTAACAACGGTTTGCAGTAGTTTAATACTCAGGTTACAAAAATTACCAACAATAAGACATTTTGGAAAAAACAGTTTATATAAACAAAAATTAGCCTTTAATGTATCCTTAAAAAGATCACAACAACAACAGGAATGTATACAACAATGATAAAAAAATATGCAGGACAAAAATGTGACCCCCTAGACTTTTCCAGCTATTCGATGAAATCATGTACAAGGTGTTCTGATAATAAATTTGAATCGACATTTACTATATATTTTCCTCTTATGAATAACACTTCTGTACGCTAGCGTAAACATCAAAACACTTCCTGTTAATCGATAATTGAATTATATCATTCATATACTCATTGATTTTATTGTAGCTAAGAAAGGCATGTAATGGTACGTTTAAAAGAATTATGATACCCAACTTGTGGTCCAAAGGAATAATCAATTTGAGTATGTTTTTTTCTGGCCATCTGATGGTTTTACAAAATCATAATAAAGTAAAAGCCATAAAGAGTACTTACTTTGTTTTTGATAACACACGTTTCTATGAGACTGTTTTCCTTGTAATTGTTAAAACGAAAGTGAAACTAGAAGTGGACTTCCTAAGGTATATAAAAATAATTTATATATCTACTAACTTATAGACAAAGACACAGAAATGACTTAAATATCCTTTTGTAAGACCGAAAAAAAATAAAGTGTTATATAATGTAATTTTTTTCGGTATCTTAATTATTTTTATACTGGAAAGGGGAATTTCTTAGAATATCTTTTTAAAGAGTGTTTGGGAAAAGTGCTCCAATGTATCTTTGAGAATAAGAGAAGACATTTACAGAACGAATTTTACTCCTATTTTAAAATTTTATTATTTTCTAAGTTTATACTTATCAATGAAAGTTAATCTGGAGGTTAGACAGCCATGTTTTACTGTACATTTTTGTTTAAAAAAATGACTATTTTAGCTTCATAAGTAAATAAAATACTGGCCTATTGCATAAGCCATGTATTGTATTTATGAACGTCGTAAAATATACAATGCATGTAAGGTAGTCTAGGGAATCATCTAAGCCCACAATGTGCCAATATGAGTGTAATGTGACTTTTTAATCATACACTTAGTCGTGGGCGTAGTCATGGTCATCGAACATACAATGGACTAATTATACAAAATTATATAAAATACATGGATATTAAAAACAAGGCTTTTTATATAATCTGTATACTATGTATATAAGCTCATCAATAAACGGA